GAAGCCATCGCAAGCAATCAAACAAAACAAGCAGGAACGAAAGGTACGTATATGTTTGTAGGAATATGAAAAAAAGTTACTCACGCACTGCACAAAATTCGCAAAATAAATATTAGAGACGTTAATTACTGCCGTAGACGCCGAAACACCAACGAGCCGTAAATTAAATGCGATTAAAAAATGTACTAAACCAAAAATTATTTTCGTTCGTAACAACTTCACCCTTTCAAGGCAAGTTTCGAATATAAACTGAAGCTTTATATTTAATGAATAAACACCTCAGGAACCTCCGCCTATTATTTTACGAGTTTTACGACCGTTTTATGACTTGGGCCTTCATTTTGTGCTATCGACAAATTATGAACGGACTATAGTAATACCGATTATAAATCTGAATGTCAAAAGCAAAAATATTATAATAGTAGAGAAAACGTACTTATTTATTTATTTATTCGGGATACAAATAAAAAATCCACTACAGCATCCACATAATTGAATTAGTATTAAATTAAAAGTAACTTACAATACACTTGTGTATGGTACATGTACATACAAAAAAAATTGATTAACAGTTATTGACTAAATATATGAATGAATTATAACCAATAACTATAACTATAATAAGGGCAATTTCAGATATTGATCTTACTTGAAGTTAATGAAATTGAAATATGAAAAACTTCTCCGATAAAGAATATATACTTGATATTTTCAAATAGGCAAATTCCATTTTTAACTGAACATGTTGTTTTGATAAAACTCTTTTCAGATCCGAACAAAATGGTATACTCCACTACAACAAAAGCTGTTTTCGGTATCTGTGCTAATCCATTTAATGATAAACAATTGGCATCATTCATTGATAACCAAGTTTGTGTGTGGGACACTAGAAACTTGGATAAACCTGCCGTTATTATACAACAAACAAAGCCTGTTCTGAAGATTGGCTGGTGTCCAACAAAGTGAGTAAAAATAATGATATAAAACTAAATTGATAATGACTAATTGAGAGAGTATGAAGTTAGTTTCAGTGCCAAGTTACATTAAATGTAGTATTAGTATTTGTAGTAGTGGTTGTAGTAGTGGTTGTAGTAGTGGTTGTAGTAGTAGTAGTAGTAGTAGTAAGTAGTAATAGTTGAAGTAGTAGTAGTTGTGTAGTAGGAGTAGTTGTAGTAGTAGTAGTAGTTGTTGTTTATTTAACTATTTCATATACGAGGTCTGTTAAAAAAAACATTGAAACCAAAGTCCAATCGTCCCAATGGAAGAGCCCAAGAGTGACAAAGAAAAGCACTCAAATTTCCATCAAATGTCAAGGTTTTGCTTACTGTTTTCTTTGATTACTGTGGCATCACTAAAAAACAAAACATCAGTAGGAGACGATGAGATACCGACAAAAGTATTGAAATATGTAGCTGAGAAGATTTGTTATCCTCTTAGCTACATAATAAACCTGGTGTTGACCAAAGGAATTTTCCCAGATAAGTTAAAAATTGCTGAAGTCGGAGCCATTTATAAAAAAGGAGAAAAATCCAATTGGCAAAACTATCGACCAATAGCTCTTTTATCAAATATCAGTAAGGTTTTTGAAAAAATAATGTACTCAAGAATTGTGAATTTTGTTGAAAGTCACAAACTGATTTCANAAAGAAATGTGGAATTTACAGTCATAAACATTTTCAATCATTTTTATGATAATCTAAAAAAAATGCCAATTAATGAAATGAAGCATCAACTTAAACAGTTATTAATACAAGAGACTTACTATAAATTAGACGAATATTTTGAAGACAGTCCTATATAATTGTACAACTTATAAAATGTTTTGCTCCATAGGTAAAAACATCCTTTCAATATTTAATTTTAGTTTATAAGCTATTATATTTCCACCTACGGGTATTCTCTTCCACTCTTTTACTTTATTTTAAAACTTATTTTTATTATTGACGTGTTCTACACCAGTTTGGGTATTATGTATTGTACACATGAACGAATAAAGAATATCTATCTATCTATCTAATGCACCTGCTCACTTGTCATTGCTTGTTCCTAATCTTTTATCCAGAAATAACACTAATTATGCCCCAGCCTCCATATTCACCAGATTTGGCCCCCTGCGACTTTTTTGATAAAAGTATGGAATTTTGCGATGATTGAGGAGATTAAAACCGAATCGCTTTGAGAGCTCAAGGACATACCCAAAAGTGCATATCAGAACTGCTATGAGGATTGTAAAAAGCCTTGCCACAAGTGTATTATATCTGAGAGGGACTACTTCGAAGAGGACAAAACATAAAATGATGAATAAACAATTATTTTTTAAGAAACATTACAGTTCACCCAATTTTTTCAACAGACCCCATAGAAATGATACTCTAGTGTTAGAATGAACTTGCTTGCAAAGTGAATTAATTTTGCTGGGACTCGTATATGAAACATTTTATTAGAATTGAAAGCAATAGTGATAAAAAAATTCAATAACTGTGGTGTCAAAATGTGATTTGAATCATTCATATTAATTTTAGAGTTAGTTGTATAGCATCGTTGCAGAAAGAAAGTTCATCAGTCAACTTATACCAAATAAAGCAAGAGATGTTGAACAACGAAGAGCATGAACTTCATGTCATGGAGAGAAGTGTAGTTCCTGGATCTCCTCATAATATTACCTCTTTTTCTTGGCATCCTACTGATGAAAACAGACTTTTAACTATAGCTTTGTCGGGTGAGTATTGTTTCTGTATATTTCTTTATAGTTTTATGTGATATTCTTCGATAAACAATTACCATTGACTATGAAATCTATTCCTGAACGAAATTATTCAAATTAGCACTGAAATAATTTTTATTGCATCAAGTTTTTCATTCCGTAGAATAATTTTTTTTTGCACCGATTTCAGACTTTACAGATATATGTAGATTTAAATTTAGACTAGGTATTATTTTTACTTTCAGGATATTAGAATAGAATAGAATAGAATA